AAAATTCCTTGCGAAATTTTAGTATTAGTTCTCTTTTACAGCCTTATCCTTACCTTAACACTAACCCTAACACTAACCGATTTGTAAAACTTGAAGTTGGTCTCTTTGTATTATTTTCTTATGTATCTTTTTCATAGTGGATCGAATGGAACCGTTTCACCAAAATTTTTCTTTGGACGATAAGTCTATACAAAATCCATTCGCTGAACACGAAAGAGTTCCAATATGGCTTGCTGCCGTAAGTAACATGAATCACACTCGTCTAAAAGTAAAATGGCTAATCTTCATTTTCTTTATTTAGATACTCGTTGTTATTGTTCCGTTGATCATATTAGCAGGCTTTTCTTTGTGGCAAAGGAATTTACGTGATTGGCACCATTCTTCATTAGGTTTAATATTAAGTCTCACGCTAACACTGGCGGTGACCGATTTCTTTAAGGTAATATTATCTTTCATTCCTAAATGCATAGTCGAGGGCCTATATGAAAAAAAAATCAAAAATTCTTGCATTTAGTGAGGTATTGCACTTAGAGAGGCAAAAATCTATATGTATTATATGAGTAGGAACCAAATAAGACCATGCATTTAGAGAAGTTTTTCATAGACTATTCATTTAGGGAGGTCTGACTGTATCTTAAATATCCGTCATTAAAATTCATACAATATCCTAGACTTTCGCCGGACGTCCTCGACCAGATTTCATTAACAGGTGTGACCCATTGCCTGGGTCTGTTGATGCTAAGCCTTTCGGACTTAGCAATGCAAGCATCTGTCAACAAACGGATAGTGCTATTATGAAAGATGGTTTCAAAAGTTTTATATCTGGACATTCTTCAAGTGAGTTTTAATTTATAATTACGTGAGTTTTAATTTATAATTACATGAATTTTATCTTTCATGATGAGTACTTATTTATACAACGTTTATTCATTTGATTAGTTTCATTTTCTGGATTGGGATTTTTAACATTTTATTTGGCTGGGTTAGTAAGTTATATCTGTCTAGAATCTTACTACATCAATTTATTAATTTTATTATTTGCTATATTCTCTAGCAAATTACGTGTATTTGATAACAAAGGACATGCGTATAAAAGTTTTATCGTGCTTATTCCATTAGGTCTTGCAGCATACATTGCAGTCACACGAACTGAAGATTATCGTCATCACTGGCAAGACGTTGTAACCGGTGGATTGATTGGTATGTTAATTCATTACACCTTTTTATTTATTTTGACGATTCATTTTTATGATCAATGACTTCAACCATTGTTATGCATTTAGGGTTTTGTTTTTCGTTCTTTTCCTATCATCAGTATTATCCTCCTTTATATGCGTACAGCGCAGGTATACCTTTACCAATTCGATTAATTCCCCATCATACAGAACACAAAGCACGGTTCACTTTTGAAGATGGTGCAAATTTTGAGGTCCTTGTTGTTCGAAATGATGGATCTACTATTTTGAAAGACACAAAGACATTGCAAAGTGCTACTAACAATGATGATAATGAAGAACCTCATCGACTTGTCTAATATACCGTGTAGAACTGCTTATAATCATATATAATATCCTTTAAGACCTGCGCATTATTCATCATATCTATTGATCTAACTCTTGAATAATACCTGGAGGGTGTATTTATTTTAGTTTATTAATTTTCATATAAGTACCTCCTAAGTATTAATCAATTTAAAAAATGATGGTTTGAATAAGACCCTACGTATTATAAGCAGTGCTAAATGGTAGTTTACATAACTTAATCCTTTATATCTTTAGAGATGTGTTCTTTATGTGAATATAGTAACCTTAATTTACCGATTTTATTTGTATAAATATTGTAAAATTTAAGCTATACAAAATAAAAAAATAAATAATTTAAACGGGTTCGGAAACCCGATATTTTTTTTTTTTTTTGATTTTATAAAAATTAGATTGATATAAAATTGGTTTTATTTAATCTCAACTTCATGTATATTTTTATGGTAATTTTTACTATTCAAATTTAGGATTGGAGTTAGTTAATGTTGGGGATGCTGAAATTGACTGAAGCTGAAAATTTGGGATCTCAATTTGGATCCATAAAACCTACTAAAACCCACTTATACTTGTTTATTATAAATTCTACCCATAATGCTGATCCTTAACCCTAAAAAAAAGTCAAAAAATGTACCTCAAAAATTTTTAAAATTTCATAATAGGTCAAATTTTCAGCTTCAGCCACCACAATTAATGTTAAGAATAAGATTAGGAAGTTCTTTTGGGAGATCGAGTATTAATTACTTTGTTATAGTGGTTTAGCTGATTTATCTATTAGCCAACATATTGGTCAAATAAACGACATACCTGAATTTTATATACAAATTTATAAAAGGTCTATTTTTAATTTGGTTAGAAGATAGTATAAAAGTTGATTTTAAACTTTGAATACTTATTCTTTGGTATATATTAAAGGTAAAGTACATATTAATTAAAGTAATAAGTTGCATAGCAAAATTGTTGGAGGTTATTATAGTTTTCCTATAATATTGGAATGCAGCTAACTTACCATGAAAAAATATCATTGATTTCTAACAAATGTTGTAGAGTAAGTTATTCTGGTTCTAATAGACGTAAAATTATAAAAATCTGTTTAATAGATCGTGAGGTATTGGTCTTTTTATCTTCGTGACTAGGCATTCCAGCGTTATATAGCCGATTTTTATTTTTTACTATGAAATTTATATCCTTTAGTTGTGATTTACCACCTAAAGATTCTTTATACAAATTTTGAATACTAGCTAAAAATAAAGTTAAAAAATAATCTTAATAATCTTTTATATGTTAAGTCAAAAGACTTACCCATTTTAAAACATCATACAATTTTTTTTTATAATGATTTATCGTGGGTCAATATTTCGACTCAAAAAATCTAATAAATAATAATTTATTTAGGATTAGGACTAATTTTAACTTGCTCAAACTCTATATGAAGAATCTTTAAAGCATAAGTATTTAAACTTTAAAATCAACTTTTTCATTTGACTCGTGCCGAATTAACGATAATTTTCTTTTATAAATTTACATATAATATTAACATATAACATTTAGGTAATTAATTTTAATAAGTATGCAAACTTTATATGTGTAGAAATTTCTGTTAAAAATGTTTGTGGTATCGTTCTATTTAGCGCTACTGAATTTGTTTTACATATTTAATTCATACCACTCATTTATTAAATTTATTGTTCCTGTAGGCACATGCTAATTGATTCGAATATACAGTGTAAGTGAATAAATTGAAATAACATATATACACCTTAATAAATATTGAATAATAAATATACAAAATTGCACAATAATAACAAAAAATTAAATTGTTCCTGAAAGTAATATCATAATAAGCATCAAATAAAACATGTTAAAAAAATAGCCAAATTAAAATAGCTCAAAATTAATTTTGCGATAATACCCAAAGTTCACTAATACCTAAAGTTTAACTTAATATTCAACTTCTTCCCCACCAAGAATCAAACATTGTACCTTTCGTAATTGACGTTTTAGCCGTCTTCAAGAAATTTCCCATGTTACCAACACCATCTACAACTCCACCTACCATATCAGACATGGAACTTACAGAAGTGGCAGAAACAGAACGTGGTGGTATCGGCCGTTGACTATCAATTAAGCTCTCATATTGACTAGGTGAACGTGGAGTTCGTGAAAGAGAACTATAGTGTGGCTCGTCAAAGTTGGCACGAGCTTGACGAAGTTCTTCAAGAATCTATAAAATTTAAATGTATATATTATGTATTATATATTACTGTACTATATAATGTCTAGTCATAATTAAAATACATACTTTTTCGTATAACTCAATTTGCCCGTCCAGATACTGTTTTGTGTTTTCTTGAAAATCTTGGACGCGTTCATCATGAATCCGATCGACTTCAGCAAGTGTCACATTGAATACTGTGTCGCAACGAGAACGAATTGTTTCAGCATCCACATCCTTTGTTAAATATGGACATAGTAAGATCGCAAATTATTTATCTCATTATTAAATTGATATTGAAACTTACATATTCTTGGTCTTTGCTTATATTTTCTTCAGAGATTTCCTTAAATTTTTTATGCGTGCCCATATGCGTGTCAATAAGAAGCTAAAAAAATGAAATGAATTATTCAATTGGTACGTATATAGCATTCTTCAAGTAAAACATATGTATACATACTTCATAACTTCTGGCTGGATAATTATACTCATTTAAATTTTCAATCCATGGAATGCACGTGTCATTTATCTAATGAATCATAACCAGATTAGTTATATAGGCACAAAGACAACATTAGTGAAATTAAATTTTGTGCATACATGTGATTTATACATATCTGCAATTGTTTGCATGCTTTCAACGGTGGATTGGAGTGCTTTAGTAAGACTAAGACAAGCTAAGTAAACATATTAGAATATTAATTGTATTCAAAAAGCTGAAGTTATTATATTAAATTCTGAATTTGCGATTCTCACCTTTACATCCATCCCTCCAGCACCATGCGCCATCATCATTTATAGAATCATTACTTTCACAAGCATCATGGCCTGTAATGAGCCTAAGTAATGCGTAGCTAACTCTACGGTATTGATGTTGCATTTCTATAATTTTTAACAAAATTTAGTAAAGTTCAAAGGATGAAAATTCATGTAGTTAATATAATATAATAAATAAACACCATCTAGCGAGTATTTATGGGCCTGTGATGCTTCATTAATCCATGGCATCAGTTTTTCCATAGCTCGGGCATGTGCTTCAAATCGTTCTATGGTATCGATTTCTCTGCGATCGATGATGAGTAAGATAAATACGAATTATACAAAATTTTTCGCACTGAACTTCATTATTCATACCCATCATCGACATTGAACTCTGGGTGGTAAACATGTTGAAAAAATGCATGACCAACAAGTTTATCATTTTCAAACCGCTTTTCTCGTTTACGCCATTCCTAATTTATAAATATATATATAATCAATTATACATGATTAAAAAACAAAAACATATAAAATGTGGTATGTAAACGTACCGAATCATCATTACAACTAAGAAAATGAGTCAGAATTTCTGAATATCGAATTATTGGATGACGAGCCAACCGATTGATAAATCTTTCCAAAGCACGACGACGCTTTTCTATAAATTCCTCATTAAAACGCCCTAAGTATATAATTTAAGTGTATATTTCGATCATAATAAATGTAACCATATAATTTATAATACACGAATCGTACCAGAATATTGCTTTTCGGGAAGAGGAGGCAACACAAATGCTGCAAACTTATTTACCAAACGGTTATACAACCACTCAAATTGGCTGAACCTCCTTTCAACAGTAATTTGAACACCTTCTGAAAACTGTAATCATTGTTTTGAACCAATTATTGAAACCAATCATTGAAATCGATTCTCGTTTAATGAAATCGATTATTAAAATAAAGTCCTACCATAGATGTTACGTGAAAGATAGTATACTCCTGAACACCTCCAAGTTTAACACGTTTTTCGGGATTATGCACCATAATTTTAAAGCTTGGCGATTTCTCTAACCAACTCGGACCACCCTGGTTTTTAAAAAGGTACACTTTATTAAGCGATGTCAAGAAATAATTAATAGACATAATTAATTACATCCGGTCGATTACCTTACCTGTATATAATGTTTATCAGTTTCGGTTACTTCCTCATCGAAATTTTCACCTTGTAGTGGTTGACCACCATTTATGATAAATTCTTCGACTCCAGTTGTAACAAACCAACTGAATCGATTCAATTGACGTTTCCTTAGTATCGTACTGCTACGTGATGATCCATTAATTGATCCATTAATTGACCCATTAATTGATCCATTAATCGACCCATTAACTGATCCAAACATTGACCCAATCATCGAATCACTCATGGAACCATCCATTGAATCGCGTACTGAATTATTTGAATTGAGTGTTGATTCAACTGGAGAAGTAGACAACTCGGCAAGTCGATACGATAGCAGTGTTGAAAAGGTAGAATTTGGAAGCTCAGTAAACTCTGTAGTGTACTATAAAATAAAATAATAAAATGAATTTATTTTTAAAATAAAATTAGGGAGCAATCGCGTAGAAACAACATATAATTACATAAAAAACGACATACTGTAATATAAGCTTCAGGAACGAGCCCAGTTACGCCGTCCTTTTCAGCCAAAGACCACCCATAGGAAAGTTGACCCTTTATAACGTAAAGAACGTCACCAGCTCGAAAAGATAACTCGGAATCTGCTTCACCCACAAAGTCATATAATGCTCTAGCCTGTCGACCAGTCGGAGGTGACGAGAACATTTCAGAAGCTCTAGGTGTCTTATCGTCTTCGCTATTTAAAGAAGCGGATCGTGGCGATTCGCTTAACCTTTCTGAACTTACTGAAAAGCCTCGCTTTTGAGAGCTTATTGAAAGTCCTGCGGGCTTTGGAGGAACTGCTGGACGTGGTTTTGACGACATATGGGGGGTGGTCAATAGAAACCAAGTAAATTGTTTCTAAATAATTTTTTTTTTTAAACTTTAAATTACAACTATTAAACCTAACTTAATAAAAATTATTTATTTTTAAAAAAAAAATTTACTAAAAATAATTTGCTTGGTTTCTATTTGCTTACCCCCCATAAATTAAGGAAAAGCTCGATTAGTTACGTCGTCTGTACGTACATAGTTTAAATCTTTTTTTAATTAGAGAACCCCTTAGTGTTTTTTACTGGATTTGGTAATATCAAGGAGAACTAATGCGTTCCACGTAATTACGCTTCGAGATACTTTAAAGGGTATTTTTTTTTGAATGTAAAAATAGCATTCAGATTTTTATTAATCGTAAAAAAGCAACAGAATAACTTAACTTTTTTTTTTTTATAGTGCTTGGAAAAATCCATTGGATGATGATCCGATGGACATTCAACTAATTTTATCTGGTGTTACCTGGTTAGAATTGTTGGCTTAATTTCTATAGATTTATTGAAATGATCGTCGTTGTTTATGTTTTTTCGTTATTTATATTGTTTTTTAGTCAAATTAGTGTTAGTGTTAGGGTTAGTGTTAAGGTAAGGATAAGGCTGTAAAAGAGAACTAATACTAAAATTTCGCAAGGAATTTT